ACGTGTGTTCTGTTAGGTTGCTATGAAACTTTGTATTTTTGGAGGACAAGAACGTGCCTGTAAGGCTGTCTAAAAGTTGTGCCCCTTAGGCAGAGGGTCAGGGGTGACTCGTCCTTTTGTGGGGTACTGCGCGTAGTGTTTAACTCGGGGTTTGGAAAATCCCAGCAGGCGAGCCTGACTTCTTCAAACATAGGCATTCAGAGGAAGATGCAGGAATGAGCTAAAAATTGCTTTTAATCAGCTATTGATTTTCTTTCCCTGAAGTTTTTAATCCCGTCAGGTTTGCTTTCCTTAGCTGTGCTTCCAGTGTGTTTATTTCCTCGCTTACCGTGCACCTAATCCCCCTCGTTTTGGGGATGAAGAGTCGGAAAGAATCATCCCTTTTCCACGGAGCCAGCTTGTCAGGTTGCCTCCCTGTGTGCTGGGAGAAGGGCCCCAAGCTGCTCGGGTGGCCGAGGGGCGGGATGTGTGTGTGAGCCCTGGAACAGGCTGCCCAGAGAGGCTGTGGAGTCTCCTGCTCTGGAGATCTTCCAAACCCGCCTGGATGCCACCCTGTGCCACGTGCTCTGGGTGTCCCTGCGTGTGCAGGGGGTTGGACTAGATGTTCCCTAGAGGTCCCTTCCAACCGCAGCCATTCTGGGATTCTGTGCTCTGCCCAGCAGGCTCCAGGCCCCGCGGGGAGCGCGGTGCCCGTCTCCGCGGCCGGCGCAGGTGGTTTCTGGTAACGCAGACGCCGCCGTCGCCCGCAGCCAGAAGTCCGTGTGTGGGATTCGTGTCCGCTCGTTCGGAGCGGCTTGGTTGACGCACGGGCGCCTTCCAGGAAATGTTCCTTCATTGATATGGAAATGAAATATGAGGAGACAAAGTGTCTCTGGTTATTAGCTGGATTTCAGATGAGTGAGCAGCTTGCAAAGGGTGATATGAATGACCACTTTATCAATAGAGGCTTCCTTCTCATAGTTTGAAAACACATGAAAGTCCACAGGATTCATACCTTTTTCAGTGTTTTTAAATAGTTGGTGTTAGTTTTATTAATAATTTCCATATTGTGTAAATAAAAATGCGTGGTTTCAACCATACCATACAATTTTCAGTGTTCAGGGAAATTAATAAATTTGCTTTATTCTAATCATGTGTATAAGGTCTTGTCTTAAAAGATCGGGTTTTATGAAAAACAAAAAAAAAACACTTCCTGAAATTCTACAAGGCTATAGCTAGGCTTTCCTGTCTGACAGTAGACTAGTTGTGCTTTAAGTCAGGCTTGTAAGAAAACGTGAGTATCATTATTCTGCATGTGAATTCAGTAAAATAAACTAAAAACGTCCCTGGCTAGTAGGGGTCTTGTTCCGTTAGTATTAGCTGCCTCTTCCTTTGGTTGACTCCGGGTAATTGTCTTTACCATTCCAAGCTCTAGCATTTCGAGCCTTTGGTTCTGAAAGTCCAAATTAGGCCCTCCAAGTTGTTCATTTATAACGGTCATGTTCTAGTTCATATTTGCTTTTACTGGTTTTTTCTTCATTTCTTTTATCATACTACTTTGATAGCACTATGCTGTCTGTAATTTAGTATCTCAAAAGTGTTTTGGGTGTTTTATATTTCAGATCATATAGAGGAATAGTAGTGTGGTAGATCCAAAATGCTTTTAAATCAATGCACTTACTTCAAATTAATATCAAACGGTCAATTTAAAGCTTTTTATAGACTATTAGTTGCAATTCATTTTAGATGTTCAGATACGTTTTGCTATGAGGGGACGATATAAATGTATTTATAGAACCAGTATATGATGTATTTCAGGTTACTGTCAAAAGAAATGTGAACAAAGAGTAAGATTAAGTAAGCTTATCTATCTGACTTTTCCTTTCTGGGCCCTTTTTAGTTCTCATTGTTTTGTTTCTGTTCTTGTTTTATTTTTTAAATAATTGTGGTAGAGCTTTAAACCAGGCTTACAACTGTATTTTAATAAGCTAGTATGTGTTAAAATGAAATTTATATGGAGAAAAAGAGAATAGCGATTGAGTACTTTGGTTTCAACATATTTTATTTTATTTTGAATTTAACTGATGTTTTTATATCGGTCTCTTCTAATTTTAAGTGTTTTCTAATTACTTCTGCAATCGGCGCTCTGGTTACCAGCTTTTATTACTGAAAATCCTGTTCCTATTGTCTGTTTTCAATTCCCTGCTGTTCTTGGTGTTCACAGAGAATGGCTGTATCAAAGCCTCTGCCTGGCATCCTCTTTATTCCGTGTAACAAGCCATAACTTTCTGTACTGACACTTCCCTTGCGTTATTCCACCAGCCGCGTTGCTTTGTGATCGCAGTCAAGTAACCGTTTGGTTCACACGTTGAGGGTAACTCTTCCTGCTCATTTATTGTTCTAGTTTTTATTAGCTGACGCGGGAATATCTCAGATCTTTTTTCTTATGTGATTGTAATCTTTTGCCACCCTGTTTTATTCTTATGGTATCTGTGTTGCATTTATGACTTGGCTCCATAAATTCAATTTTGGCAACCTGAGCAGTGATAAAGTAACACTTATTGGTCAAGAGTTGGTAGAACATGAACAAAATGGTCCAGAAGGACAACGTGCTGCCTCCCCTGTAGGTCAGGGATACTCCTCATGGGATAGAAATGCTCTCCCTTTTGTCAGCTCTTTAAGGGAAGAAGTAATTCCTTTTTCATGCATGTTTTGAAACATTTTAATCGAAATCCTCAGCCATAAAGCTGAAGGGTGTCTATAAGAAGTGAGTATAATTTATGGAGATAATAAAAGCAAATTATGTTTTCTAATGAAGATCTTGCCTACCTCCAGATTTTTTGGAGCATTCTGTTGTCTTTTTCCTCATTTATAAAGTAAGGCCTTCAGGGCTCGATCTGTTTATATGCAGATACAGTGCCAGGCAAATTAATAGTATTAATGCAGGATGAACAGAGAAATACCAGCATGCTAAGGCACACTACTTAAAAAAAAAAAAAAAAAAAAAAAAAAAAACACAAAAAAAAAAAAAAAAACACCCCAAAAACCCCCCCCAAAAAACACAACCCAGGACTTGCTCATATACATCTTGCGAACAGGAGGTAGTTGCTTGTTTGACTTGTGGTGTTCTCTGATCTGCAAGATACTTTGTTGTGACTCAGAGGTGATCAGACTCATACCGCTTGGCTGATGGACATCTGAATGACAAAATAGGTTATTTCAAGAGCTATGCAATAATTTTGTTAATTACTGAGCTATCTACAGTAACACTCTTTTTCAATGGCATTGACAGAGGAAAAGAAAGCTAAAAGGTCTTCAGAAATTAATTTTGAACCAAAAAGCGGTCGAGTGCACGTGTGTCTTAAAATTACTCAAGGTTGCTATAGTTTATGTTGGAAACAGTGATTTATGAGAAATGAATAGAAATTGTAGAAGTTCAGGATGGCAAAGTTGAGGAAATGTTGCCTTCCTCCACCCCAAATCTTTAGGAAGTTTGAAAACATTTCTACTAAGTTGTGTGCAAAGTTGTGGAGTATCCTGCAGTTGTGATAGCCCTTCAGAGTTGTGATGGTTTCGGGAGCCTCATTGACAATGCCAAAATTTTAGTATCATTGGATGGCTTTTATTTATTTATTGATTTAACCCTACATTAAATGCGTAGTGTCTTAGCCACGTCCCTGCTGGGAGGAAAAGGGAGGAATTAGAGGGAGAGCCGAAAACTAATTCATGATTTGTCCCAGCCCCCAAAATCTCCCAAACAAAGTAACCCTTAAAGTAAGAAACTGGGAAGACTACATAAAGCACGTGTGTTCTTTAAAGCACATGTCTGAGCAGTGATATAGAGCTGCTGATAACAGTTCAGTTCTGGTCATTTCTAAAACCTTCTGTTATCTTTCCTCACATGTCCGAGCAGTGATATAGAGCTGCGGATAACAGTTCAATTCTGGTCATTTCTTTTCTAAAACCTTCTGTTATCTTTCCTTTCTCCCATGTATCAACTTTCAACTATTGAAAATGGGAGGTATAGTTGTAATTATTTTCCTTATTAATTTGTTATTTTCTCTATTTAGTTGTTGTTAGCTTGTTGCATAGCCACTGTGTCACATGCTTGCTTTTTTTCCATCCAGTTAGAAGTCTTTGCATATTTGTGCATAATGGTAATAGACGCCTATGGAAACCGGCCCCTTTCTCAGTGCTGAGAAAGGGAAATTTAATAGCATTGCTAAGTCTTATGTTCATCTGCTGGGGTAGTACTGTTAGCAAACATTGTCCCTAGATTGTACAGAATAAATTGTAGTGGCCTTAAAACCATCTCCTATATTCTTTTTGCTTTAATTTCATGAATTGGAGATCTGTCTTCAGTCATCTTCTAGACTGATGCATGTTTACAACCTGAAAATGGCAGAGACGTGTGTTGGGGTAGAATGACTTCTTTGCACTCTAAAGGTGAAAGTTAGATGTAGAAAACAGAATATTGAGGTTCCTGCCTTGTGCCCCAACAGCAGGGACCTTCCCTTGCTTTGCAGACAGGCCGGCCGCCCCGGTGCGTGCGGTTTGCAGCTTGCTGCGCTGGGCGCCGCTTGCCGGAGCGACGGGGGCTCTCGTGCAGGTGCCTTGGTCAGTCGGCTTGTGTTCATCGTGGGCAGACTGAGGAAAAAAATACTTCTCTATTCTAAGCCTTTTTTAAAGTATGTAAGTATTCTGTACTCCTGCCGTACAAGCATGAGTTTCATGCTTATCTGTATGCACATCAGAACAAATGATTTTCTTTGAAATGTTAATAAGAACACTGTAAGTTACATCAACTGTGCCTGCATATTTTTGTTCTTACCTTTCTCAGAGCTGTCACGAGACAGAGTGAAAGAATTATTACTTGTCCCTAGACCATGAAAAAAGCCCATCTGAAGTTATATGCTTAACTGCAGAGGATTTGTTTGTAGCTTGAGTATTTCCAGGCCTAAAGGTAGTGTTTTCCATTTATTGGTGGTATGTCAAAGATTTTTCTTTTTCTTCTTTTGTAGGTAAAGACAGAGTTTTCAACACTCCTTTGTGTGAGCAAGGAATTGTTGGGTTTGGGATTGGAGTTGCTGTTGCAGGTGCTACGGCTATTGCAGAAATTCAGTTTGCTGATTACATTTTTCCAGCATTTGATCAGGTTAGTATGAGTAAATAAAGTAAAAAACTCATGACTAATTTAAATGACTCTTCCAATACTACTAATACTTGTCTTTTGTCTGCTCTTTCAGCAAATATATCTGCAACCATATTATTAGTATTTAATACATGCTTTAAATAAACTAGAATGTACAGGGTCCAGGTTGAAGGGTGAATAAATAATGCAGATGATAATGCAGTTTGAAGGCAGTGTTGTATGGTTTGTTTTTACTTTGGTTTTGTGGCCATGGTGGCTTAGGCAGACACACAAATTCAGACCCACTTCCACTTTATGCTGTTGCAGCCTGTTGCATGGCCATTCGATAAAATGAGTCTTTGAACTGGGTTGGTGGACAGTATAGTGACTTACATAGGAAAAGGCCAGGGCTGTAGGGCTACTCTTGAGACATCTTTGTTGAGTGGTCTGAATTGTCGCCTTGCTTCTCTTGGAAAATGCCCGCTCCTCCCCCGACTTAACAGGAGTCTTTTGCTTCTGAATTGGTCCTCTTACGTGCATGAAGTAGATAGTGTAAATATATCCTGTGTTTTACAGAAGTTGATACATGGTTAAAGGTAATGGACTGAATGTTACTGTAGCATATGAAAAGCCATTTTTTTTTTTAATTCCTTCCCCAGATTGTTAACGAAGCAGCAAAATATCGTTACCGCTCCGGAGATTTGTTCAACTGCGGCAGTCTCACCATCCGAGCCCCCTGGGGCTGCGTGGGCCACGGAGCCCTCTATCACTCTCAAAGTCCTGAAGCTTTTTTTGCTCACTGTCCAGGAATAAAGGTAATAGTCACTCTTAATTTGTTTTGATTCCTTCAAGTGAAGGAGAACGGATAGAAGTTTCAAGTCATAACTTGCATTAAGACAAATGTAGTAGCCTAGTATGCAACAAAAAATTTGCATCAAAATATGTTAAATGAACACTATTTATAAAGTTTTAGCTTATAAAGTGTGTCCAGAGCTAAGAATTTATAGTCATCACTGAAGTAATCTGAACCTAATTAGTACATTTTGTATTTTGTTTTGCACTTGAAAAACATGTTTTACTTTTGTCCAGTGTAGTAAACAAGATGAAACCTAATATTAACTTTTTTTTTCTTCTCTCTTCCTAGAGACATTATCAAGTCAATATATATGAATTAATTTGTGACTTCCTGGTGGAGGGATAGGGGCGGGACCTGTCGTCTCAAGTCAATACGTGTGTCCTAAGAGCATATGCTCTGCTGGCTGTCCATTTTTCCTCAGTAAAGTTTTGTCTGTGGACTTGTACTTTTGGATTAATTGGAATCTAGTCCACTGAGGAAATGACTCATAGGTTGATTAATCTGCATGTCTTTGAAGCAAAAATAGTATTTGTGGGCTTGAAGACAGGTGTTCATTGTATATCTGGCATTAAAACACTGTCTATGTGTGATTTTTGGTGTTTCCAAAACTTCAGATATAACTCCTGCGAGGGACTCTGTAGCCCTGTAGTCCTTTCTCCTGCCTGTTTTTCTTTCCTTAAACAAAAGAGCAAACCTATGATGTCCAGAAACCTGTGCGAACTAGAACCACCAGATCAAAATCTTACTTCACATTTGATTTCATGGTATTTGAGAAACGGAATGTATTTTTTAATCTTTGAGGTGTTGCTCAATTGCCAGTAATTTCATAATATCTCATATCAACTTTTGACTTGAAAGTAATTCAGAACTGAAACAGAAGATTTCCCTGAAGACACTTTCAGGGATTCAGGTGCTTTAGAGACTTGTTTTGAAACTGCAGCAAAGATTTGATTCTGACTTTAGTTGCTGCATCTAGGAAAAATTAGTAGTATGTGTTGGGAGGAAAAATTGTCAGTGCAGATCTGGAAAACTTAACAGGCTTTAAATCAAGTGACTTATTGCAAAGAAATCTTGGTTCAGAAAACGTCCATTAAATCGATTGTCCAATAATTCCTGTCTAATTGTAGACAGGGAAGTGGGGCAAGAAAATAGAATTTTGTCTAAAAAGCACAACATAGAGCACTCAAAGCGTTAGTTCACCCAGGTATTCTTGGTGAATACTTGTCTTTGTATTCTTATACTGAACTTGAAAAATATTTACCTAGGTAGACAAAGGTAAACTACAAAATCTTCTACAATGCAGCTGAATCAGTTGGTTTATTGAACTTGTATAAAGACTGATATAGGAGAGCTATTTAACTTCTAGTATTCAGTGAGATACTGATGATGGATATAGCTAATACATGTTTATCTTGCGGATGACTCTTAAATCGTTATACCGAACAAAATGATGGGATTTTTGTGGTCCAGTCTGGTGAATAAGAATTCCTTTCTAATCTAGTACAATGTGGTGTTACTGCACAGTGTAGATGCATATATTGCAAATAACCTTCCAGGTCAGCATCATATACTGTAAATCCGAACTTTCTCAAGGACGAGATGGACGAGTAAATGGAATCATAGGGTTGTTAAGGTTGGAAGGGACCCTTATAGATCATCTAGTTCAACCCCCCTGCACATGCAGGGTAAAAAGGAGAAAATATGAATAGGAGAAAAACATGCTGGTGTGTGACTTGCTGGAGCTGCTCTGGAAAACCTATGTGTTGAAGGAGCCGTAGGGAAGGAGGTGAAAAGAAGGTTGCTGAGGGCTTGAAGGAACGCGGAGTAAAAGTTTCTTAGCTGAAGTGCATCTCGCTACAGCTAATAGCTGTGTCTCAGAGCGGATGTAAAATTCTGAACTGATGGATCAATGCACAAATATTCCTGAAGAACAAAGAAGTATTTGACTGTGTATCTTTTGAATATTGCATCTTTTAAAACCCTATGCTCCTTTAATTATTGCAAGGATGCTTGTTAATGCACTTCATATGTTTTATATAC